TTTACAAGGTCGTAGGATCGGCAAAACTTACCTTCAAAGAATTGCAAGACGTGATGCTAGATATCCAGCTCGTATTGAACAATCGACCACTATCGTACTGCGAGGATGACATTCAACTTCCCGTGTTGACGCCGAACATGATGATCTTTGGTAAAGCCAATTATCTTATGGAGTTATCACCTGAGGATATAGAAGAACGAGACCTGCGAAAGAGGGCGAGATATTTGAAGAAATGTAAGGACGCGTTATGGCAACGATGGAAACGAGAATACATGAGAGCACTTCGCGAAAGGCATAATTTAACACATGACGGGAAAGAGAGAGAGCTACGAAAGGGTGATGTTATGTTAATCAAGGTGATGAAAAGAATCGTAGACTGTGGAAAATTGGGATTGTTGAACAACTTATACCCGGAAGAGACGGAGTGGTTCGTGGAGTTAGACTACGTGCAGGAAAATCATTCATGGAAAGACCAATACAATTTCTTTACCCTTTGGAATTGCATTGTGATAGAGAAAGTAATCAAGAAACTGTTCCATTGAATCCTGCTGCAAAGGAGTTCAAACCGAAGCGTAGAGCGGCTGTCGATGCAAGGAAGAACATTGAACTAATTTATGATCAGGAAGAGGAAGAACTGTGATGGGTAGAGACGGTGAAAACGTGTAGACGTTCGTGTGTATATAATACAGATAAGTTATATTTAAAACTTACGTTCTAAATAGGGGGAGTGTGTCGGGAAAAAGGTTGACATTAATAATTAGTAGTTAAATTTAGAGATGAGGTGACTACCATATATGGAATTGATTGACAGGCATGAGATAAAAGGAATGCTGTTAATGTTGTTATTGCATGGGAATATATGTAACTGGGAGCGATTTGGGAAGGGATTATAATACAAAACACAAGATAAACGCGTAATTTTGCTCTTGTTGTGGGGATCGAACGAAAATCTACCACAAAAGTCATATTCTCGGTTTGTTACAATTTTGCTACAACAACTCTTGCATTAACAATCTGTGATATGCATACTGTAGATTTCCACTTTTTCACACGTTGGCAACCGGATTGAAAATAACCCAACGTGTAATGCTTGTGATGTTACTCTGAGTATATATCCACACCGGGCAAGCTTGAAAAATATGCCTGACCACGGTGGGAATCGAATTTCCACCGTGGTCAGGCATATTTTTCAAGCTTGCCCGGTGTGGATATACACCCAGAGTAACATCACAAGAATCATATTCACCTGAGTACATTACACCAACACAGAAAAAAAAACCAACGTGTAGTTGAAATTTGCTGATTGGTTTGGTCCCTTGAAATTATGTTAATGTGCAGTGTCGCTGATAAGGGACCATGTAACTTCCCGACGAAGGCCTTCGCTGGAAACGTCGAAGTTCTGCTTGTATTTTTCAGGTAGTTGTATATCCCATTCAATCGGCAGCTTTCTTATATGCATTAATGGATACGTATTAAATTATGTTGATCAATGATTTTGGGTTCTGCCGAATGGTAGGACACATCACTTTTTCAACAATTCATTTTGCCGTTGATTAACTGAAATTTGACTACTGTTGAATATTAAATTACCAAAAACTGGTGCTTGTGCCTAATATGAAATATTCTTAACACCTGCAGATTCAAGCACCATCGCTGCACTATTCGTAACATTTCACATAACATTTATCATTTATATAGACCTGGAGCGAGGGGGATTCGGCGAAATATTACGCGAATGCCCTGAGCGTCTATAAATGATGTATTTTACGAAAATTAAAAGCCTCCAAGTTGAGAATATAAAACTTGCCACATACCTTTGTGAATACGATGTTTTATTTTTGGATTAAAGCAACTATCGTCGCTTTTTTTTCGAATCGCACATGGTTTGGAATATTGATGAGAACAATCAAATCGCCATGTGATATTATTCATTTCACCCGCTTATTACGTCAAACACGAAGACGTAAAGCGCGATTCGATGATCAACTTCATGCTCACGTGGCGCAAACTTAGGTTTCTGATTGGACACTTTTAATTTGAGGTATAATATTTTTAAGTAACATTGTTATATGCATTATAGGGTGTTCCTACTACAGTCATTGTGGGTGTACTGAACGAAATCGCGGACGAATTGGAAAACATTTTACAACGATCGTGCATTTCCCTGAGAACTGTTCAAGATATTGGTGTAGATGACCCAATGTTTCACCAAAAGGTTTGTTTTCAAGACTCACTTAAATCAACATGCCACGTTTTTGATGAATACGCTGAATACTCTGGGGAGTTTTGTGACGAAAACACCGTCATTAAAGACAGTACGGTAAATAATGTTGGATTGTTAACGGCCGGTGTAACGGAAAATCATGTGTCTTGGAGAACGAATCAATCTTTTCACAAAACTGAATTTTTACCACATGGCAACACAACAAAAAGCAACTCGCAATTGCACCTATCTTCTACATATTCATTATCAACGTATCCTTCTGTTGACCGTACGTCTTCGTGCAAAGACACCCAAAAAGCTGTTATGGAGGACGAATTCGATTGTTGTTTTGATGGACTTACCGTAGGTGGAGAAACACCAAGAAATGTTGGAAGGCCTTTTTCGACACCTACAAGTTCTATCAAGTCTTGCAATGATAATATAATGAAAGCATTGGCAAGGAAGAAACCGAGTCCTTTGCTTGGTGAGAGAAACTTTGGAAAGAGTAATTCAGAATTAAACAATGACTCTCTTTTAAATTGTGCTTCCATATCTGACGGATGTGGATTGAGTTTAAAACAAAAAAACGCTAACTTAAAGTTTTCAGGGAATCATAATCCGGATTTAAGTAAGAATGATTCTGAACTGCTGAGTATGTCGGAAAAACTGTCTATTCACGCAGATAGTAGAAACGAAGTATTTGCGAGTAAAAAGATTCATAAGATAATGGATGTGAAGAATGTATTTCTTAGGAGTCGTCATCTTACAGGTCAGTCGACACTTGAACCATCTACACTGTCACAGACTCAGGATTATAACACTAAATGTAGTGACATAAACAGAGTTTTGGGCGCTGGCTGTAATAAAGTTGGCAAAAAAAGCAATTCAATGGTATCTAAGGAGAATTATCAGCATAAGGTGGTACAGAGTTCTTTCGACATCAATCAGGAGCCACGTAACGACGAAACTGAGAGTAGTTATCTAGTTGCGTGCCGAAGAGACGATTATTGGCTTAATTTCTTAGGTCGTAGTTTAGCCCATGGAAAAGAAAATGAAATGTCGCTAGCACTGGAAATTCTTAAAAAGCAATTCACCTCTTCAGAAAAGGCCCGTCACAAATTCTCGTTTCAGTTGGATCTTATTAGTGTTCAGACTGTCTTAGGACCCTCCGTCTGTACCTCCAGTGTACTAGAAGGTGCTGTGGTAGAACTTTCTAAAGAAAACCAATGCATTGTAGCATGTGATATTGATACCCCAAGGCGAATTGCGTTGGTTAAGGGTGATATCTCATACAATTACCGACACCCTGGATTTAAAAATTCTGTACAAGTAACCCATACTTTAAACAAAGATGATTTCTGCAACTCAAGTTTGAATGCCCAAAGCAAGTGGATGGATCGTGTGATGTTACTGATAAAAGGTTTACATTTAGACGTTGTTGCAGTACATGGTCAAATGACAAGTGTACTTCGAGATCATTTACAAGCCTTGGGTGTGGTTGTACTTGATAATTTAAGCAATCACCAGCTGGATGTTCTCTCAAAAACGACAGGAACGTCCGTAGTTTCTTACATTTTGGATTTAACTGAACATGATCTTGGAAAGCCGGTCATGATAAGAATTTGGGACAGTGGTTGGTCTTCTTCTAAACATTCAGCAAAGTCCGACGTAGTTCAAACATTCGTGTTTGGTCAAATTGGCCTTTGGTCTGATGAACAATTTCAGAAATCGAATTCTGTTGTATATTCTGTTGCGTTATGTGGTCCAGTACAAGATTTAGTGAATGATAGTGAACTGAAATTTTGGAATTGTGTCCATCGTTTACGGAATGCTATTGAAGATCAATGTGTATTGCCTGGTGGAGGAGATATAGAAAGAATTTGTGTTAAACACTTAGAAGATATCAGAGGTAAAATATGTGCATATTGTATGTAGCCGTAATGTGTGTTTGTTATATTTGCCGGGATACCGAGAGGGTGTATAGGCTACTTGCAACCAATTTGGGAAGGTGGCAAAATCGAGCGGGCCCTCTCAAATTTGCCTGCTCTCTGCAGAGATTCCGACCCGGGGTTAAAAATGCTGCATGAATGTCGTACGTTCTACAACTAAGGTGGCGTACGCGTGTCGTCGGTTTTTGAACTAAATTTACCCATGTTCTCTGTTGTATATTTATTTCATGTAAAGTATATAACAAACAAAAATGTTTCGTTAGTGTTTACCGAGACATTTTTTGGCGCACATGCATGTCATTGATCTTAAAGTGCTACAAAATTGTAGATCTTAAGTTAAGGTCTTTTCGTAAGGTCTTCACATTAGCTGGTAAATTTAATGTAATTTGAAATTATATACTCATTATAATTATGATAACTATATATACTTCATCAAAGTTTAAAATTAAGAACATGTTTATGGAAATAAATTTACCGCTTAATCGCTTTTATCTTTGAATATCAGACTAGTTTTATCCATCTTTCAACCAAAATGCATCCTGATAGAAATTAACGTCGATATTGGTCATATGGCCGTCATAAGTGTTCCGAGAAACTAATCCCGAAAGCAGCCCCTGTCTATATTGTAGTTTTCGGTTTTATCCACTGCTGTGGGGTGCAACTTTGGGTGCCAGGGGCGGGGTCACTTCATTGGCCAGGCAGTACTCTGCAGTATTCGTTTTCCTTCCTATTTACTGCATTGCTTTATATTTTCCTTGCAGCATTTTTGATTTTGACTATAGGTTTTGATACAATCACACTTGACAATTTTGAATTAATCAAGCGATGACTGAAATACGCCGTTGACAGTGTTGAAGCAAATGATATCTAGAGTGTAGCCTGCATGCGCCGCAGTCGAAATGTGTGAACATAACTGGTTTATGTTCGTCTGTGGCTGTAGGTCACATTACTAAAAGCTGATTTTTACTGTTGCGTTTTTCATACGTACGTATACGCACGTAAAACTTTAAATCCGTTTAAATGTTACTTATGAAATAACCAAATAAATAAAGCAACAGAATTTAGTGTTCCGCATGTTTTAGTATGCATTTGTTAACTTATTTGTAAAATATTTGAAAAATAGGATGATTCAAAGTTTTCCGTGCGTGTACGTGCGTATGAAAAACGCAACAGTGGAAATAAGCCTTAACTACTGCAAACTAACGCAGGGGAAACCCTTACGTATCAAGTTATGAGCAGGCTTTGTAAAAGACTTGAAAGCCCTTGAAAGTCCTTGAATTTCTTAAGTCCTGGAGAGTCCCTATAAAGTCCCTTAAAAGTCCTTGAGATTCTTATAATTATAAAGAAACGCTTGAAAGTCATTAAATTCTTCTCGCTTTATAACTTTTCTATATTCTCTGGAATTATTTGAAATTAAAAACTGACATTTTGTAAAAAGCCGTTTCAATTTCATCCACAGTTTAGCATCACTTTTTACTGATTCTAATGACTATACTTTGCGGCCCTTATTAGACGTTTAGTGCTCGAATTTCCTCACACATGGCCTTGAAAGATTCCTGATTTTTACTGTTCCTAACCTGCACATCTACGAGCCCCGAATTTGTGATTGGCTAATAATCAGAGTCAGAATTGTGCCGATTATTCTGTTATTAGAAAATCGGAATCTGTATTTTCCGATTTTATACAACCGATTATTTTGAAGAAGTGTATTTGCCAAGTTGAAGCACGTTGAAAACTATTCTATCATATTATATAAATGCTGGATTTTTAATAGTTTTGTGGCAAGAAAGCGATTTAAATTTGTTTATTACCGGTTCGGAATCGGGCCGGTTGTGACTTCCAACAAATTGTAATTTCTGTTAATCACTAATTACTCCGGGTACTGTAAGTACCGGAGTATTAAAATGCCATATCTTTTTTGTTAGGCGACACAAGTGTGCACTTCCACAGGTGCACCGTACGCAACGCACGCAACGCACTACAAAAATACGAAATATCTAAAAATAGCCGCCATTCGTAGTGGATCGGAGCGAGCGTTGTGTTTACAATGTATTTAGTTCTATTTACAGTAAATATTATCAAATGGAGGGGTTCTCATACACTCGTTTTTATACAGTGACCACAGTTGAGTTCATATAAATACAAATCGAAATTCGAGACTTTCTCGCGTGTTTAGTAGCGGTTGCCGTTATTGCATGGCTAATTCTGATCGACAACTGCATGGCTTGGTTCGTTACTGACGTTAGCCCGGTATTTTTAAATTTTGTCAACATTGTACGTAGTTAAATTGTGTTAACACTCGTCACTCGTGTTCTTTAAGTCTCCCTTTGTGCCCCGTGGCCAAAATTGAAGTACAAACAACGCACAAATATATTCGACATATGACATATCTGAAAGTCTTCGATTCGCGAGGCAATTTATATCGCAAACCACAACAATATTGGCAATATTGTCTATACCACGCTTGAATTAGACAAAAGCGCATATAAAATATATATAACTGTCATAACTAGATACCTTTACCCAACACTATTACGTCTATTACACAGTTTAATGTTTTATTTATAGAGTATTAAAAATCGGTCTCGACAGCTGCATTGTCTTGGTCTTATAGTAAAATCATTACTAGGATGCTTAAAAACAATCTAAACGTTTGATAATAACAAACTTACAGAAGCCTTACAAATTAAAACAATCAATCTGTATGAACAAAATATCAACATAACTTAATTATGAGTTATGGTGCCAGTTATGAACTTACTACCATGCATTGAAAAAGTGTTGACAATTAACTATATGACACGACTAACAATATATTACTTTTTAAATAATTTTCTTTGCGTGTTTGATAAATGTAGTTTGTTTACGTTAGCTATTTTTAGTAATTCAGTTTCAGGAGTTCTTCTCGAGGGTCGAGGGTGGGAAGCGAGGGTCGAAAAATCATATATAAAAAGTCGAGGGTCATATATAAAAATCCGGGGTCGTATTTCTAAAATATTTTATGGTTTTTATTGTCGAGGGTAGAAATTTGCGGGCATTTCCTATAGATAAATTTGCAAATGGGGCAAGCACAATAGCGAAAACAATACTTTGAAGATGGCGTCGCGAACCCGGAAAAGGCGTATGGCAATGGAAAGGTGTATAAACAAGTCCTGATTACTCTGATTCAATAGACCATATAGTGAATAGACTGTACAATAATTTGCGACTTTCAATCCGAGATGACGCAGATAATGCACCACGCCGTTTGAAACTATCTCGACTGTAGCTTTTGATCGGCATGTATATTTTTATGTAGTAATATTTTGTCATATAAAAAGTAATCGCATATAAAAAATTAATAATTGCATATAAAAATAAGAGCTAAAAATTAAAAGTAAAGTAAGTGAACACGAACTTAAATTATTATTTTGTTAAATTATTAAAATGTACTCTCAAGCTTTTCACCCTCGAATTTCTACCCTCGACAATAAAAAAAAACCCATAAAATATCTGTAAAATACAGCCTCCGACTTATTATATACGACTCGAAAAAACACTCCTACGCATGTTTTAAATAGAACTTTTAATAAAGCTTTTAATAGCTTTTATTATAATCAGTGTCACAATGTCCTTTTATTTTTATGTTATAAAATATTATGATCATTGCATATGTTTTTAGTCACCTGGTCAAGTGGTACACTGTAGTTCTCCCACTTTTCCAACTTTAATATGCTACTGAATATCATGCATTAAAGATACCTTCATTGCCGTATATAAGCATACGTTAAAGTAGCTTTGCGCCGTTAGTTAAGGCCCTGTACCCGGAGTGAACGCCTGAGTAGGCGTCTTGTTAAAACATAATACCATCGTGCCTGTTGAATAGCTAGCTATAAAACGACAAATTTTCCCACCATTATAACATGGTCATTAAACCATGCGTGCATGTCCTTCGTTACAATGTTCTTAATGTTAAACGGTTGCGAGTGGTTGGGGGCGCTACTTTAGCGAAATTTTTAAACAACTAAAATTTGACGTTACTTACAGGAAGAACGCTACTTTCAGCGATGATGTCTTCTTTCGCTGTCGCTAAGTTATGTTTCTTATCAAAGCTTTTATCTTTTTAGATTGTTATGGACCACCTGCGAAAGCGTTACTTTCCCGTTGGATTCAAGACGACTACAATGAATTCCGATCTCTTATTCTTGACACAATATGTTCAGGTTTCAAGCAATTTATTGCAAGAACGAACTCGAATGTTGGAATGGTATGTGCACGTCAATTTTCATCCATCTCAGATTGTTCTGCTATGGAGAGGTCACGAACTGTATACGACAATTATTCTTGCAAGGTAGAGGGATGGAAAAGAGCCATTAGAATCGTAAAGCTCTTTCTTAATTCAGAATACCATGTAATTACTGGATTGTAGTATTAGGGCCGTTCACACTAGCTGTTTATAGATCGATCCGAAATTAATTCAGAGCCTATCTGGCCAAGTATGGACAACTAGAAACGAGCTGAAACTGATTCGAGATCGATCTAAACTAGACCACCTTTTACAACGGCGATAATTTCTTGCTTATCAATCTGGCATACTGAATTAGCTGTAGTTATTTCGATTCATTCAAGTTTTTGTACAAGTGTGGACACTCCATAAGAAGTTTTCGGAACCGGCCTCAGATCTGTTTTACACTTTTATATCCCTCTAATTTATGTCGATTTCAAAGTTTGCTACAGTAACTGTGAACGCCCCTTATATTGGTGCACTTTCCAGGGGTCCGCGGACCTTGAAAAGCCTGGAAAGTCCTTGAATAGACGATTCCCCTTATTACATTTTCGTAGCGTTTTGCATTGTGGTTATAGTGGTATCACTGATAAAGATAGCGGCCTCGAATAAAAATATGGAATGTTTTCGCGAATATTTTGCTATTGGATATCGTGCACCTGACCCTAGCTTTTTAAAAGTTCTTGCACGGGTCAGGACAAAAAATAAGCCATCTCGAATATCAGTGATACCACTATAACCACAATGCAAAGCCCTACGAAAACGTAATAAGGAGAATCGTCTATTGGAGAAAACAATTCCAGAACTGGAAAGTTCTTGATAATCAGTAGAAGTCTTTGAAAGTCCTGCAATTGATTTCCTTAACGTCCAGCTGTCCCAACATTAGTGATTTTGATTAAAATTATTGAATAAAGTGAATTATTGGCTGGGCATATCCGTACCATTTTCAAAGATTTTTCCCTGTTCTAGGTCGTTGAATTTACTGAAAAAGGGCCTTGAAAGTCCTGTAAAAGTCTTTGAATTTCACCTTCACCAAAGGGTGGACACCCTGGCTTTTGCTGGTTTGGGGGGTTTAATGGTTGCTCATATGGAACCAGACTGGCCCCGTTAACCGGGACGATTCCTTTAATAAAGCTCTATAACGATTAACTGTAGAAAGATTATCGGCCAACCAGCGGACAGCGTCACAACACATAAAAATACACAAAATTCATTACAAAATTCTAAGCCGAAGTGAGCCGGTCTCAAAAAACAGTATAATAGACGCTTTTAGATAACAAGACGCGGACGTCAAGAGGACGTGAAAATGACGTATGCACCTCGCGTTCACTTCCGGGTTTTAATCTGGGACGGCTTGTTTGTCTTTTTCGAAGCAAATTTTTGTTTTCTTGTTACCTGTTCATTCCTGTATTGTTTTCAATCAGTTGTCAAGATATGTGCAAGAAAAGCCTATATAATACTGGGCAAGTGTTTCCTGATGAATTAGTATGGACATTCAATAAGTTTTTTTTTAGAAAAATGGTTATTTTTTTGTATTTTGAAAATTGAACTTTGTTGCATCATTTGGAACAAATACAACAGCTGCAGGTATTGTTTACGAGCTAATTGTAGCCTATTCAATCAAGTTTGTCAACTGTTCAGTATAAATATAGCATCAGTGTTTATATTGGTAAAATTTAATACTGTTTACGATAGTTTTTCACGCTGGAAAGCGTTTTTTTTGCTTGTCCTACTTTTTGCACTGTTGTGACAGAGCAACTAAAATTGATCGAGTTTTTACTGCTTTTAAGTGCTTTTATTTTTCTATTTTCCCACGTTTTCCTGATTTTAAACAGTTGTTAATATAACTTCAGTTTAGTTTGTTCTAAAATATTTGTTTTGGTGAAGATTACTAGTGGTATTGAAGTGGTTATTAACAATGCTTGCAGTTTTGTTGATTTGTTTATGGCGACCGAAAGTATTTGTCGAAAATCAACTCGTCTAAAATTTAGCGAAATACAAGAAAAACAACCTTGTCAATGGAAAAACTTTAGCTAGTATCATTAAACAATACATGGGGAACAAAATAGGATGATTTTTATTATGCATAGTCTCATATTTTTTTCAAATGAAGCAAAAATCTGTGACGTTCTAGAGAGGACGTGATAATTGTATTTTCGCGTCGTGAAATCGTCCAAGACGTCGTCGCAAACTAGAAGCTGACGATAGTTGGCGCCAAATTACGACATCCACGTCCTCTTGACGTCCGCGTCTTGTTATCTAAAACCGTCTAATGGTGTAAACGCGCCACAAGGCCAGGGCTTGTAGTGTAAACAAGGCTTCTGCCCAAATCGGCCAGCCGATGCAAAATCGAGATCGCGGCAATATCGATCCCGCGAAAAATTGGGACGAGTGAATTCTGGAGAAACGTTTAACGAAACACTTAAGCTGAAGCTATGTAGCAGGCACTAGGATTTCAGAATTGTCCGTCATTTTTTTACATGGGAACCCATGGGTAACTATTTTTTGTTTGGTGGATTTGGTTGTCGGACTTTGTTTGGTGGACTTGTAATATTAGGTTTATTAATCCATTCCTAAACTAGAGAGCACTCAGAGACTGCATACCTCCGCCCCCATTGAATTTCGATCGTCTGAAATGCGGTCGGCACTAGATCATAGACAACATACGCACATATCTGAAACTGCTATATGTAATAGTCAGCGGTATTGCATTCGCTAGATACTTAATATAAATGTGGTCTTGTTATATTTAAATATTGAAGTAAATGTTTTCAATTTATACAAACCAGGGCGATAGAAACTGTGAAACTGTGTTTTAATGAGTATTACAAAGTGAATTGCTCAAATTATTTACAAAGATAGATTTCTCGAAGAGCCTTTCCTCGTTGGATAACAAAAATTCATTAATATGTAAGTAAAGTTTCAGAAATATTTATAAATCTTATTTATTTTGTTATTATTTGTTTTGTTGTTCTTATTTATATTATTTCAGTACATAAATTTTGTATTTTTATATGGACTGTCGTGTATATAGGGCTCAGTATTAAATAAAATAATTATAAAACGCATTATTGATTAATAATTCATGACGAAAATAGGAAATAAATAAATGTTTAATCCAGGGATGGATCCAGCATGATCTGGTTGGGGGGGGGGGGTGCTCTGCTGGCTGTGGTGCCGAGTTCAGTTGTGTCGGTCATGTGTGCCGCCCACCCATCAACTTGCTTCACTGCTGCAAAGTCTTGCTTGATTACTGTATTTGAATTGTAATTGTTGTTCACAGTTCGCTTATCATCATACAGTTATTGTCAATTTTAAACACTATTGGGAAAAACTTGGATCAGGGTTTACAAACTGATGTTGTTTTCATGGATATTTGTAAGGCCTTCGATAGCGTTGACCATTCCATACTTTTACAAAAACTTCACGATTTCGGCTTCTCTGGTTCTCTCTTGCTATGGTTTCAAAACTATTTATCAGGTCGCTTCCAACGGGTAACTGTACACGGCGCTACGTCTACGTCTCTGCCAATCACATCTGGAGTCCCACAAGGATCGTTGCTGGGTCCCTTTCTCTTCTCAGTGTACATCAATGACTTACCTAACAACATATCCACTTCCACTGGGGTCGGTTTGTTTGCTGACGATACCAAACTTTACAGATGTGTGCAGAATCCCTGTGATGCATTGGTCTTGCAAGATGATATTCAAGGCCTACTTTGTTGGTCGATAGAAAACCGGCTACGCTTTAACCAATCTAAGTGTAAAGTGCTGTCAGTACCCAGAAAGAAATCGCCTTTAATTTATCCCTATAAGCTTGACAATGATCAGTTGTTGGTTTCCAACGCACAGGTTGACCTGGGTATCACCATTAGTCTTAAGCTATTATGGAACGATCAAGTAAATAAAGTACGGTCGAAAGCCAACCAAATGCACGGGCTAATTAGACGATCTACCGCGGAGATGACTGTTATCAACGCGAGGAGGCTTCTGTATCTACAACTCGTACGCAGCAATTTTGGTTATGCATCCCAAGTATGGTGCCCACAATCCATTAAGTTAATCGAAGACATCGAGAAGGTGCAGAGAAGAGCAACGAAATACATCTTAAATCTTGGGTTTACCACCGATGTCTCGTACATAACCAGATTACATCAACTGGAGTTACTACCAATAACTTATTGGCATGAATATTTGGACATGGTTTTACTCTATAAGTTAATTAACAACTATACCTATATTGATGAGAGTGCTCTACCAATAATAGCTGAATCAGGAATAACCAGACGTGAAACCAACGAAAACGTAATTAGATTTGTAATACCCTTTGCTAAAACTGTAACATACCAGTCTTCATATCTTATTAGAGCGTGTAAAACGTGGAACGTTTTAAATAGTGACCTCCGTAATAGAGATATTGGCCTGCAAGCTTTCAAATCTGGACTAAAGACGTACTACAAATACGCGCTATCTAATATTTATAACTATGACGATCCGCGAACTTGGAAATCTGTGTGCGTTAAATGTAAAAGGGCTAGGTCCCTTGATGGTGTTTTAAGTTGTTGTTAGTTGTCTGTTGCACCGATTGTATTTTGTCTTAAATTAGTTCGTTTCGACTTTTAAAATTATTGTAAACGTAAAGTTAATTATGGGGTCGCCGTAATTGGGGAAACCTGTGGCGAACTCCCTGGCGTTATATTAGCCGAATCTCATTAAATCATTAAATCATTAAATCATCAAGATATTACTCAAATTACCGTATCTCATTTTGTCTCTAATAATTTTTTGCTTTATCATAAAAAATATCACCCTGCACCCCCTCTGGCCAGGGCTAGGGAGTGCATGCCCCCCCCCCCCCAATAAATCCATCCCTGGCTTAATCAATATTTGTAAATCGCTTAAAGATTTTTTTCGGCTTAGACAATGTTTATTTTTAAAATTACTTCGCCAATCAACTCATAAGATTTATAAGCATGCTAAAACATTTGCATCATATCTTTATCTGATATACAAACTCGCCTTCGGCTTGAGTTTGTACATCAGACAAAGATCAGCTGCTCATATTTTATCTAGTACATAGACCTTTATGGTCACAGTAAGGCTGAGGGCCAAGAAATAAGGCACTTGTATGTGGTTGTGATGTACTGTAATTACCAGAAATGTCTACTATAAACATCCAATTATAAGCACGCCTTGCCCCCCAATATTGTATAACCCCCCATCTATAAGCTCATCACACTACAAACATTCACAGCCCCCTCCCGAATATAAGCCTTCTATATTTGCTTTTGCACTGTAGCTAAAAAGGTGCTTACAGGCATTTGGTATTTTTGCATTTATACTTTCAGGTATGATACTAACACAAAATATTGTCCATGTACAAGCTTTAATATATATATACCCCCATATCTGCTTATTTCTGTATGGTAGTAATATAACCACTCAGCACAGCATTTCCTTATATATAAGCCTATGGAAGAACGCTTACAAACTTATTTAACCCATTAACCACCAGTAGTCTACCACTGATGAGTAAAATTATCTGGCGTTAGAAAGAGTAAATGCTAAAGAAGGGTGCATTTGGGCACATTGCCCGCCAATGGGTTAAGCTCATGGGCTTGTAATCATAGGGTTATGGTAGTAGCAATGCACTCAAATGCACTGTTATGACAAAATGACAAAAGGTGCAAGGCAGTCTAGGAGGCACCCTAGAAAAGTTTGAAATTTAGAGTCCCTCAAATGTGATTTCCTGCATTCTCGGGGTGAGATTTTGCAGAATTCTGAATGGTATATAATGCATATATCCCTAAAAGTCGTGATCTTTCACATGATTTTACAAACGTCCTTTCCCTTTCTCCCCCTGGCAATTGAGCCCTTTTGTCTACACCAGTGGGAGATCAGATGAATTGTTGAAACTTGAAGGAAATTATCACAAACTAAGTCACAGAATGATTCACCAACTGTCACAGAATGATTCATCAATATCGTTTGCAGGGATCTGGGGTATGTGACGAGGTCTGCTCAGAGGTGCTTATAAAACCACAACTGGGTAACAGGTGGGAAATTTGTCGTCGCTGACCAAAAAATTGCGGGCAGAAACAAAGCTCATTGCATTTACATTCAAAACAAAGCAGAAAGTTAGCAAGAAGCTGTTTTAGCTGACGATTTTTTGCTTTCCATTCAACAATTTACAAATTATTGGTTATTCTTTTAAAAGTCGATCATGAATTCTTTGTTTTGGGATGATTGTTTTATAATCGCGTGATTGGAAAAAGTTAATATGGCGACGTGAACATGGGAGTAAACACCGTATACGTCGATCTACGGCTTGTTTAAAATCGTAATAAAAGAAGAAAGACGTGATTTGAGAATGAAATGTAAGTTGAAATTAACTTTATATGCCTCAAATTTTCCATCCTATGTTTCTTAATGTAACTTCAGTTGTCTAAGTTCAAAATACAAGCTCGCGAAATTTGACAAATTTTGAAAATATGTAAAAATAGCTTGACTTTGAATTGTACTTTCTCAAAAATAGCCCGTGGCCTCAATTTCAAATATAGCTAAATGAAAAGAAAAATCTTTTCGGCGTTTGTAGGTATCAAACATATCGTCAGGAAAATAGGGGCTCACAATGTTTTAGTTCAGTCTTTGAGACCCAGTTGCTTCGCACGTGTTGTGGTGATGTGAACTTCCTTCGTCAAAACCGCTTCGAGAAGGGTCTAGTTTGAAAATTTAGCTATTAATTTCGATTTCATGAGCATATTTTGGTTACACGTTAAATATTTTTGTGCTTGATGAGATTCAAAATTTGTTGTATATTCAAGCCCGGCTTTTGTGTAATTTTGGTGATGACCGGAACAGAAATGAAGATATTTTAAAAACTGGCCGTGGCCTCACGATAAAACTTTCTACAATTGTTCTCTGTTTCATGTACTTTTATTTGATATCTTAGGTATAAGCGTAAAAATAGGGGCTCATACAGTTTGAGAGGTTGTAAAATGCATGACTTGCCTCTATTTTCATGTAAACATTCGAAATTCTTCGACAGCAAAGTAGCAACTGTTTCAGATCGAATGCACACGGACAGCCCACCAGAGACAATGGCAGGGTACTGAAATAGAACGTCACTAAAAAATTCTGTATGATTAATTTAGATCATGTCCATTTTCAACATAAAACAGTCATTTATTTTGTACAAACATTTGGCAATATTTGCACGATTGTGCCTTTTTGTAAACACGCGTTGCGTGTATTCCACTCAATTGCGTGACTCATTTTGCTCGCGCATGCTCAGACAAATTTCCCACCTGTTCAACTGGGTAGTTTCGAAGTCTTCGAAGACGATCTTGTTTGCAATACACACATATAAATGCTGATTCAGTTGCAAGTGCTGCAACCTGCTCGAGTGAAAGTTTCATACAGTTCTGGGCATGCCCATGATGAAACCAGTTGTCGCAGACACTGCAATGGACCATTTGAGCACCAGGAATGTGCCGTAGACAGACACGATAAATGCTTATAACATAATATGATCGCCTGTTGGGGTTTTGCATGACATCATGTGGAAACATTTCAATTTTCCGTTCCTCCAAGCATCTTAACAGATGATCACGCATTTTGGATTGATCCCAGTAGATGGTTGATGGATCAAATCCAGTTGCTAGTGCAACAGAATTTGCAATAGCAAAAAGGCCACAGTCCGAGGTTCCTCTTTGTCCTTGTTGTAGCACCACTGTGACATCGAGAGAACCATCATCATTGCAAAACCCTTCGTAAACATACGCCAACTGCCTCTTAAGCGACTCATTGACCGTTGAATACGGGCTTTCGTAGACTACCACTTTTCCCGATATAGAGGTGGATGTTACCTAAAGCACGATTTAAGGGGCAAGACCAATATTGTGGCACTGAATGGTTTGGTGAACATCCTGACGGACTGCAAATCTGCTGCAATGTGTTGTTGCTGCAATGCAGTTGAGACCACTAACTCCCGTTCCCAGCTCTTTTATAAGGTGCTGGGCTGCATCAATGTGTTCGTCTGTCAACCATGCAAACGTGCACAGGAGTATGTCCCTCAATTCGTAGGTCAGTTTCACACCATTGATCATCATCCATGTATCACTCGGTCTGTTGCCATTCTCGTCTACTTCCTCTTTTCTTTTCTTCTTGCCAACAACGTTGTAATTTTGGACCTTGGATCTCTTCTTGCCAGCAACTTGGGAACCTTTCGCCTTGGATCGACTCATTTTTTTACCAACATCACTGTCTTCGATGACAATCTTTGCGTTTCGAGAATCGGCAACTGATCCAACTCTCTTCATAAAGTGATTCCTCTTTTTTCTTTTTGCTAATTTGGACGTTTTTACCGTGATTTTCTTTGGCGATAAGGATTTGTCCTTCAACGCAATTCCATTTTCTTTGGGACGATGCTTCCTTGCATAAGCAAGAACTTCTCGGATCTTTTCGAGGGTTTCGTTCAAAACATCTTTATCCGTTAGCAGATATAGTTCATCATGGAGGGATTTCACTTCTTGAATGCACTGTCTCCGGATGTTGCCCTTTTTTTCGACAGGGAAGGCTCACCGTAGCCACCTCTACCTTGCTCTCAGACCCTGGGGAACAATCTTTTTGCGTCGCTTCTCTTTGGGTCGATGGAAATGTTTCATCATTTACTTCATAAGACGATTCTTGTACTTGTCGTATAACTTCCTCATCCAAAATGAACAGGGGGTGACTGTTGAACCGCGAACCAAGAGACTCCCACCCTATGCCAGGTTATTGAACAACAGCGCATATGTGCTTGCACGGCAATTTCTTGGTCCGGTAGTCGATGCATTGGCATGTTGGCAGTTGGATGTCGGAACCCAACCAAACTTGGTAAAATTCTACACCACTACGGACGCTAAATAGGCGAGGAGTTACTTGAGAAATGTTGAGGTTTTGAATCTCCGTGGTACTTCTTTTCATGATGTGCTCTACAATGCCTCTTGGTCTGTTCTGGAGATACTTGGGAACGCGCTTGTCGTAACACCTGTACGAGTCTGTGCACTTGATGTTTTGTTCTCTATATCTTTCAAAAGAACGGAAAAGAACACAATAAGATACCGTGTTTCAAAAGAACGGAAAAGATACACAATAAGATAATGTTGTCGCGCATTTTTAAAATTTAATTTTACAGCATATGATGTCGCTTATAGGAACGTAGCAATTTCAGCGGACAATGGAATACATAACATGGATTTGTTCACCAATCCGATATAGTAATAAGATACTTACTTCTTGTAGCTATCAGGCAAAAATTGCTTTAATAGTATATCTACTAAGTCGGTGATGGAGTTATTTCTTCGTCCATCAAGGTAGGATTGTTTCAGCCAGTTATTTTGTCGCTCAATTCCATTGTTTGTGTTGATGGAGATTTTCAATGCCTCGTCATGGTAGAAACGGACCCATTTCTGTAAAGATTGGTAGTAATTTATCTTTTATTTATTTTGGCTTTAGAATACTTTTTTGTCGTAACGATGTACCTGGAAAAGGATGTACAGTACCTTGAAGGCTGGCTCCGCGATTACTGTATTTATTTTAATTAAGTACTATACAATTCCTGGATTATTGATCACAGTACATGATATACAGCTATGGCGATAAGCTAATAAAGATATGACAGTACCTGCAGATGGAGACCCCAAAATTCTTTGAAGTATTTTTGCAGCGGAACGGATTCTTTCCAAATTTGACTTTCTTTCAGGACTGCAACATTCTGGTCAAGTTCACCTTGGTTCGCACTTTTCGCAATGTTACGCAGGTATTGCAACACCTCGGTTCGGTTTTCTGTCACCCCATTCGTTGTTTTGGACACCCACTCATTCCATGCTTTCTCACGGTGGAAATCGCAAACATGAACATGTGTTTCTGTCAATAAAGAAAGGATGGATACATGTCAATTTGGGCGACTTATATCCAGAAAATTGTTAGCTTTACAAATGTTACACGTCATGTATTTTATTAATGCGCCACAGAATTGTGAAGTCCATAAACTCCACATTAAAGGATTCATGGAGGTTAAAAAGCAACTTCATTAGGCAACGATCACGGACGTAAATGTATAACATTCGTTTAGAAATATCGAATACCAACATGTTATACTGGATATGGTTACTTACTTGGAAAGCATTCGTTAATGGCCGCTATTTCCGCCAGCGAACAGTCAACCATAACATTCTTAGGATCCCACAATGGGTTTTCCTTGCGTATTATTCTGAGAACCTCTAATATGGAATCCGCATCTTCATGCTCTGGGATAAAAACAGCAACGACAATATACCCAACGTTGGATCGGACACACAGGAAGAAGAGTGGCAACGCGTATCTGGAAAATAATAATTAAATTAATAATGTTATTCCATTTATTTGTTATTATTGATGATGATGAAGACATTGGAATAAGAGAAACTTTCGTTTTCGTGGACTAGGCAGTCTGATGATTAGCCATAATTCTCATTCGCCATGGACTAGGTTATTCGAGGAAAAACAGCATCGTTTCACAACGTAAGATGTTAGTGTTATAGGTATAATTTATCATGACATTGTACTGTACCTGCTGGTTCTGTATGTGGCGTCCATCAAGCACATTTCCTGACCATATAACAATAGTAAGCGCTTCATCCATTGCGATTGATAAACAAATAGAAAGCTTTGTGAATCTTCCTCTACTGACAGCACCGTTGACGGCTAAAAAGTGAAACTTAAATATTGACTTGTATACTTATAATTATATAATATTGTTTAGAGTTTACTCCATTTCATTACACTTTGTCGCTAAAAGTACCATGTATTTTTACCCTATAGAAAATAAAGTCTTCTGGATTTAATTCTTGCTAATCCTTGCATTTCATTTCCAAATTTATTTGGTCATCTGGGGCCTTTCGCGCGCCAATCCGTGATGTGTACAGTATGTTTCTAATGTCCGCATCAGTTGGGTAATACCTTCTTCTTAATTCAGGTGGGGGATCTTCTCCATGAAATAGCTCATGTTTTACAAAACTATTCAAATGGCGACGAACTTCAGCCGTACTGCGAACACCAATCACTTGCATCGCTTTAATTTTCTCCACAATTATGGGATCCATTGGTTCACGTAGACATGCAGCCTAAACAGGTAATAATAAAGAGATTTATTAGTTATTAGGGACTGGTCATTATTTATGGACGGTAGAAAGGAATTTTTCCTTTCCCAAATTTTAAAAATTAAACCCCACCCCCCACCCCTTAAAAGAGCAGATATTTAATGGTGACACTTCTTTGCCCCCCATTTTCATTTTTACTCGTCAAATGGAGATTCCCAGGCGTTATAGTGTTATTAAATAATAATATGGAACTGATAAGATATTAACATTGACCAAAAATATATATATTAGCTAGCACAAAATTATAATTAAAAGAGTAGTATTTTTATACATAACACTAAAATCAGGTTTCCATTTGGTCTGGGTATTTGAACCATGTCAAGATAGCTGATGTAATAATACCTTTGCAATCGGTAAAGACTGATTTGCATAGAGCACACAAAAGACAAGATAAATCCAGACTATTTCAGATCAGTGACCATGATTGAGTCGCTACATTTGTATGGATACCAGGCTTATTAAGCAAAATCCTTTCATTTTCTTGAAAAAATTTAACAGCCCTCCCCCCCCCTTTTAGTCATTATTTATTTATACATATGCCTTAAGCAAATTCCTTCATAATTTAATTGCACCCCCCTCCTCTCATTTTCCTGAAAAAATTTAACAGCCCCTTTCCCTCCTAGTCATTATTTATTTATGCATATGCCCCCCCCCCCTTATTTTCCCCTCCCCCCCTTCCCGTAAATAATGACCGGTCCCTTATATATATTTGAAGATGGCCAACATTGACATTAATATTAACTGGCAGTGATTGACCAAAAAGAGTAAATTTCAACAACCAGTCTTTCTACATGACAGTACTTTCATCACTCAAAACAAACCATGACAAATGACTTATCTCTAAATATTCATGAAATGAGTATTGATGTACCTCTCCTTCGGTTGTATGGAATTTATGACTATTTATATCTGGGAGTTTAATTGCAAATTGGTCAATAATTGCCAATTTTGTTCCTGCTTGCAAGTCTGCCTTTAATGCTTCTGCTGCCTCTCTCATCTTTCTCTGTGGTTTTCCTCCATTTGGACCAACAACAACCTACAGAATGGATATATTTAAGATTACACAGAATTTAAGATACATTGTACTTGTTTGAAGGAAATGGCATTTCACACTCTATAGGTAGTTAGGAGCAGAGTAAACAGCCAAGCCTCTCGGATTTCATTGACTAAATTGTACCTGCCTAGCTAAACAAAATATCAACTAAGTTAAATAATCTAACTACAGTACAATCATGAATAATGTGCACCATCAGCAACCTCTGAACATACATACCTTATAATCTGGAAACTTTAGGACTCGAGACATTATAATTTGGCTGGGACAACCCAGCTTTTTGGATGGTTGATAATGCTTTCTTGTTTTCCTGAATGTATGGTCATGGTTCTGCAAAATCATTGGATGGTGTGAATAGAAATATGTATTTATGGGATGGTTCTACTCCTTAAGGTTGATATTAATAGTTCAATTTTAATTTGTTTATTAAGCAATTAATGTACAAGACTCTGCTTGTACTCTTGTATGCTAAATAATATAGCTTGTCATTTAAATGCATTCAACATAATACCGTACAGCTTCTGCCATTTTTACCTCATTTTTATTCTGGTCTTCCTGTCTCTTCATTTTAGTTTTCATATCTATATCGTCACCCTGATGACATTGGTAGTTCACTGTACCAACACATAGAAATGGCACACCATCAAATGGAAATGATATCCCTTCAGAACTTGTCAGGCTCTATTGAACTCTCTTTCCAATTTTTTTTGATGCCATAATTTCCTCAGCAGTCTTGCCTTAATTTTTTTGGATTTAAAATTATAACATTTATTATCATGTCATGTTATACATGTATGTATATACATATACATTCACAAAATATGTGATGCTGTTTTTGCCAATTTGTTACCCCTCCCTACCATGTGACAGCTAGCAGTACACCCATGATAAAATATGTGACTCTGAGCCCCCCCCCCCCCCCCAATAAAATTACTCACAAAACACAAATTTAATTTGCAATGCAACAGATTCAAAACGTTATCTATAAATCAACACTATTTCAATGCCTTATTAAACCTCGGCCTAAACAGTTTCCCACTGGTTTGTTGAATAACAATATATTTTGATAGAAAACATTGATTTGGCATCTAAGGGACACATATTTGCAAGCACTGTCTTGTTTTGTTAAACACCCTTATACGCATCTCTGTCACATGATACTGTTTGTGATACTGTTTGTGACACTGTGACTCCTGATCAAACACCCCCTACCCCCACAAGCATCACATACTTTGTGAATTGCCCCTTAATGATATCACACCAAGAATGTGACTCCTGATCAAACACCCCCTACCCCCACAAGCATCACATATTTTGTGAATTGCCCCTTAATGATATCACACCAAGATGATAATAAAAAATTAAGAAATGTGGTTAACTTTGCTAGCATCTGGAAGAGTCAATAATTCTGTAACACACTGTCACACTTGGTCTACCCACCTCACCACCTGTTGTATTTTAATAAAATGATTAAAATCGCTACGTATAAAATGTATTCAACATTTGATATGTGCCAATGTGTGTATATATATATGTGAATAGATCCAGCTTGCATGCTCGACCAAGGAATACATTTTTGGGTTGACCGTTCATGCGTTTTAAATATGTATATTTATCGGAATATATTAAACCTGCAATCGTCTATGTGTGCTTATTAAAATATCGTGACTATAAATATAAATATTCATATAATATGTAAATAAGAACCTACCAAAAAGAGCGTTCGATTTTACACATCTCCATCCGCTTAGCGTTTCTCTCTTGTACTCCTCAAGTCGCTGAAGCATTTCTTTTTGTGTGGCATAAACGACGGCTTGGCCACCTTCGTCGTCCACTGGCTCTACAGAAGCCATTTTGCTTTCCATCGCGCCAATTTTCCAATTTTGCGCACTATTTATTATAAAATGAAATTAGAGCACCCGCTGACCATTATATACAGCGGTTGCAGTTATGTGCGTATCTTGTCTATGATCTAGTGCCGACCCTGAAATGCAACTAAGACAATAGATAACTAGAGGGCACTCAGAGACTGCATACCTCCGCCTGTTACTCGGAAGTGAAACGCAACCTTGGAATTTCCTAAGAAATCCACTTTATAATTCTTAAGCATAAAAGATTTCAGGCCCCCGCGAATTGAAATCGAATTGCTAATAGAACATATTACTGTTGTTGTACTGTACAGTACTTGTAAAATAAAAACTTATTAAGTGTCATTAAATAAATGCACAAATTTTGCTTTATGCACTCGCGCGTGCAGTAATTTTCACAGTTGTGCAATTAATATGTTGTGCTCATCGTTCGACGGCAGCGATGTGGATACTCTCAATATATCGTTTTCTGAAATGGACTTGGTATGTAGATTTTTGTGGTAATGGAGATTCTACATGCAGACATTGTGTTATTATACTCAAAAGACAAAGAACAAGCGAACAATGAGACGCTATATTACCTCTATTTACATTGTAAATGTATATTTTTAATATGCAAATATAATTTCACCATATTTATCTTTCAAATTGTGCTTTTAATGTTTCATGCAGACTGATATTTGAATCTTATCTAAAGTATTTGGAATGGCTTATCATAGGCTTAGCCGCAAAATATGTAGAAAGCGGATATAATATCATTGATGTTGTATTTGCATTGGCATAATTTGTATAAACACTTTATATTAGACAGTCTCCATCGTCATAGAAAAGCGGCGGCTAGTTATAAGTACTTTTTAGTCTGCCAAGACCACTGGATGCTATTTCTAAATATTATTTAGATCTATTAGATCAGTGCTGGTATGTATATTGTATATTAAATCATAATAGTAAAGTCAAAATGAAAATTTCGATTTATAGCATACGCCATCTTGAAAGCATTACTCGGCAGGCGCTCTCGCCTGCAACCCGCATTTTCCGAACCTGCCCGAAATGCACCCTAAGCGCCTGCGGAGGAGGTAGCTGTATTGAAGTAATCTAATGTTGTTAGAATTTGAATGGACTGGCACTTTGCTGAACGTAATAATGCGTAACTCCGTAAGTCTTGTTTTAGACATTGAATTTCGGTCGCGTGAAATGCAACTACGACAATAGATAATGAAGGCCGAAGCTTAATGAGGTTTATCATCTCATTACTGTCTTAGCACTGAGTGCATAAATTATACACGTCCTAATTACGCATTCAGTAATATATTTTGTTAATTGACCGGGAAAAGCAAGACAAAATTTTGTTCATTTCTCGTTCAATTTTTAACTAAATTCAACCAAATTTTAATCAGTTCTTCCTTAGCCGATGGGAAATGCATTCAAAAAATTTCGTACGGATATGTTTGGTATTTCTTGAGTTATCGTGCTCACAGACAAACACACACACATACACACACACACACATACATACACACATATACACACATACAAACCCAGATGATTACATAGCCTCCTGGCGGAGGTAACTATAATCACTAGACTGCCGGTCATTTACTATTTGATAAACCGTGACCGGCTGCCGTTCATATAGAATCTGACCATATGGATAGATAGAGATTGTAGGTTTGAAACGTACTTTAGAAGATTTGACATGTTGCCATTTCCATGGTAACGTAATGCATGCATATTTTTAGGGTCTGTTGGTTTAGGGTTTCATATTTCAATATTGTGAAATAAGCAGAGCGAGGACGCTAAACATTCTATTGTGAATTTATACGGGCGAATTATCTATTATCTATTCAAGTTTGGTGTGCGCCGACCAAAGTAAGTTGCATTTATCTTGTTGTAATAGTCAGTTCTCTAGTCTAGTCTAGTCTAGTCTAGTCTAGTCTAGTCTAGTCTAGTCTAGTCTAGTCTAGTCTAGTCTAGTCTAGTCTAGTCTAGTCTAGTCTAGTCTAGTCTTCAATCGCGTATCGTGTTAAACAGTATTCGTGTATATGCTTACGTTAGTTTTGCGCGCATGCCGTAATCTGTAATTCTTTTCCTAATTGTATAATTCGAACCCACATTCCATATCCCTTAACCATATTCCATATACCAATCTATCTACCAATACCTAGCAAACCTTAACCTCAATCCCTATCGAGCTATCTCAACAACAGAACATTGTAATTAACTGGTATTAAAGTTGCTGTTTGTGTATGATCGGTGTGTGTGGAGTTCGTATTATTGCTGCGCATCATACTTGAATCGACTCTTGGACATTGCGAATTTCAACAATCTGCCCAGAGAGTCTACAGAGATGTAACTGACAATCGTGTTAAACTTGATAATTATCAATTGATTAGGAAAGACCGAAACCGATATGGTGGGGGAGTTTGTATATATATGAAAAATCACATCAATTTCAAGGTTTGCTGAGATGTTATGTCCGATGACACAGAAACCATTGTGATTGATATTATAAAGCCAAACAGTAAACCATTTGCCGTGGTAGTAAGTTACCGACCACCTGAAAGCGATCCGGATATGTATTTTGATCAAATGACTAGGGGCCATTCACAAAGGATGTCCGAGCCAAGGGGGGGAGGGGGGTTTGGAAAATCAGGACAAACTCGGACATAGGGGGGGAGGGGGGGTTTTTAGCAATCCGGATGTCCGAAATTTAAAAAAATTCAAAAACAAATTTCTTTTTCCCTCTATTTTGAGCAGTCCTTCCCATTGTGAAATTGGCATTTTGACTATGCAGTTAACACTAGATTTTGTTTTAATTAGTAATTTATATGTTTTTGTGTTCGCATTTACAGTTATAAAAAAGTTCTAAAAGTAAAAAAGTTTTTTACTCTTGATATATACAAGGTTGCGTGAGTTTTTGCGAGGCATGGCGGATGTCCGGGGGGGTCACTAATTCGGACAATGCCGGACAAGGGGGGGAGGGGGGGGGTCTGAAAATCCATCATTTGGCCGGACATCCTTTGTGAATGGCCCCCTAGTATTTTTAATCTACTTGACAATGAACAAAGAGAAACATATTTATTAGGAGATTTAAGTTGTGATCTGCTTTCCGAAAGGAGTCGTCGACCCATAACGTTATTAAACTCATTTTCTGAGTTATTTCAACTTGAACAACTTATCAAAGAGCCCACCAGGTTTAATGAAAACAGCCAAACCTTAATTGACGTGATTCTTACAAACACCCCAGAAAGTCGTTACATCAGGTGTTCTACATTTGGGCATAAGCGATTATAGTTTGGTTTACGTTGTGCGCAAAGTCGCTATCAAAACTAAGAGCAGGCATCGGGTTGTTAATATTAGATCCATGAAAAATTTCAACGTTGATAGATTCAAAAATGAATTAACCAGTTTACCATGGTCACTTGTTGATAATCTTGAAAATGCAAATGACCGATGGGAATTGTAGAAATCGATGTTTTTGAATGTTGATAATCACGCTCCATTAAAACGTAAACGGCTTAGAAATAAAAAAAAGTCCCTGGATGAATGCAAATCTAAAACAATTATTTTTGCAAAGAGACAAACTTACGAAATTAGCGGTGGTGTCAAAAAATCCAGCTGACTGGAAAAAATTCAAAGATGCGAGAAATGCGTGCAATAATTAAATTAGACAAGCAAAAACCGATTATTACCATCAATATTTTAAAACAAATTCAGGAAATTCAAAAGAAATTTGGAAATCAATCAATGAGTTAATGTCACGTAATGCTAAGTCAGACGAGATCTCTCATCTTTCGTGCAATGATAGAGTGATCAGTGACTCAGCTGACTTAACAGAGGGTTTTAATATTCATTTTGCAGAAATTGGGTTGAAATTGAGACTTGATCAACCGGATGAATGAAATAATTTCGGTTTTGCTGATTATTTCAAGCGGATACCGTTTTCACGTTAGATTTGACAACACCAAGTGCTGTTTTTAAGATACTCGCTTCATTGCAAGAAGGAAAAGCAATGGGTCTTGATGAGATTCCGGCTAAATTGTTATGAGACTCATTATGCAACTTATTTAACTGCTGAATAGCAACTGGTGCATGTATTTCCAGATGATTGGAAAATTGCAAAAGTTAAGCCACTTCATAAAGGAGATGCAAAAGATCTTTTAAATAATTACAGACCAATCTCCGTTCTAAGTGCTGTGAGCAAAATCTTTGAACGAATCGTTTATGACTAGTTGCAAGCATACCTTATTAGAATGGCCTTATTTGTGATAAACAATCTGGATTTAGGCCAGTTCACTCCACCACAAGCGCACTTTTGGACGCAACTACAAAATGGCTAAGCAATATGGATAAAGGTTAATTGAATTCTGTAGTGTTTCTTGATTTAGCCAAGGCATTTGATACGGTGGATCATGAGATTTTGTTGAGCAAACTTCAGATTTATGGAGTTGATTCAATGAGTCTCAATTGGTTAAATCGTATCTATTTGACCAAAAACAAAAATGTAATGTAAATGGTGTAGTATCAAGTGAGCGCTCGTTGCTATGTGGGGTACCTCAAGGATCTATTCTTGGTCCTTTGCTATTTCTTTTTTACATTAACGACCTTCCTTCTTGTCTGCAACATTCTACAGGACGAATGTATGCGGATGATACAAATATAACTACAACTGGAAAGTCGATAAAGGAAATAGCATCTGGAGCCAATGCAGATCTTGAAAATATTCGCATATGGCTTAAAGCAAATAAACTTACCCTCAATGTTACTAAAATGGAGCATATGTTCATTGCGTCTGACAGTAATCTTGACAAACTGCGGGACATACCTTATTTAGTTTTGGGTGGAAAACCCATGAGAAGAGTTAAAGTGTCAAAATCACTGGGGATATTTATTGACGAAAGATTGTCATGGAGAAATCATATTGATAAAATCTCTAAGACCATATGCTCCGGAATTTCCGGTCTTCGGCAAGTGAGAGAGTTTGTTACCCTTTCAACATTACTTACAATATATAATTCACTAATTTAACCAATATTTGACTATTGTGACGTTGTTTTGGATAACATGTCAATCACACTTGCTCAACGACTCCAAAAACTGCAAAATCGTGCAGCTAGAATTATCACTTGTCAGGGTTATGAAGTAAGATCTAATTATATTAGAAGTCAATTGAAATGGAAAACACTTTCCGAAATAAGAAATAGTCATAAACTCATAATGATGAAAAAATATTAAATAATATGGCTCCTGTCTACTTACGTGACCACTCTCCTCCGCAGAGTCTGAATTATATAGGATTTGTAGGGATAGTAGAGGATATTTAGTGGTACGCGACTGGGGGGGGGGGAGATCAATGGTTGACAAAATGTAATCAAGACTCTGCCAACCTCGTACCCAGGGCTTCTGCGCTTATTGCTTCTGAGAGCAATAAGCGCAGAAGCCCTGGGTACGAGGTTGGACTTTGCCATATAATGCGCGGTTCTCGGGTATATTCTGCGGTTCTCGGGTATGGCTGAACTAAGGCAAGAAAACGACTCGGAAAGCAGCGATGTGGACATTTTAGAAGTTTCCCTTAACACTTTAAGTATCGAGGGTAAGTTGAATGAATTTTATACAATATTTATGTCGCATTTTCCGGTATTGACGGCATGTTTTACATGCATATCTGTTTAGCGACAGTATACGTCATAGTATCGTGGCTTTGTTATTGTTTTTATCTCTCCCAAAATCAACAAATAAAGTTTAAAATACCATATTTGGTACATTGCCAGTAAGAATTATATAAAAGCAGCAAGGATTTACAAAGGATGGCTTAAATATACGACGGATTGATACAAAAGATGTTTTGTAGTCGGCCCATAAAATGGCCACCAGTATTGTGGTGTGACACTTATCCTTTAATATTTAGATTGAAGATTCTAAGCAGTGTATCCTATACTTTGTATCTAGATGAAGATGATGGATGTTATCCAATGGCAAGTACGCTCCAAAAGGATGACAAGAAATCAATGAGTGTGCTCTGAATGGTCCAAACGCCAAAGACAAGTGAACCTGGTTCAGAAAGGCTTCACATATCAACAGTTGACACAGGTTTGTTCTTAGTTAATACTGAGTAGTCTCTCTCAATGTACATATTTTTTTAAATCGTCTTAGACTAAATTAAATTTTGGAATTGAAGGCATAGCACCAGTTCAAAGTACTAATAAATTCATGTAGTTTCTCTTTCACACAATAACAGTATGACGAGAATTGGAGAATATATAATTATAAAATTATGGTTATTCAATGTTGTGTCAGTACACCGTTGGCCAGAAAATCTTGCTGGATTCTCAAAAGAATCAATTGTGATTGGCTAAGAACTAGAGACAATCCTCAATGTTTATCAATGATTTTTTAATGAGACACCTGACAAGGTTTTCTTCCCTGCCATTATAATAACATCATAATTGCATAATGAAACAATTATTGAATTTGGGTTTCGCATGACATCAAGATCGGTCAATGTTATCTGCCGAAGGTCTGGATAATTCTTGATATCATGCTCATCCTCGTCCAATATGTAATTGTTGAATGTTTTTACAATTGTATCCCATTTTTGTTTCTGCATCTTGCTCTCTCTATTTTACAAATAGAGCCTGACACAAACCTTGCTATCCACTCAAGTATATTTTTGTATAAAGTATCAAATCAAAATGTCCAGGGAGAAATGTCAATTTCATATAAAAACAATCTAATTAAAGTTACAACTTGCTAAATATATAATTGTAGTATCATATAATTAGGATTAACCAATATTAACATAGTATTATATAACTAGGATTAACCAATCACAAAGATACATTAAATATGGTCTGATATACTTGTGCTAGAAATAGCCAGTCAGAGCTACATTCAATATTTTGCACCTATATAATATGTCAGTGTGGATAACTCCTGTTTTTTTTTAAAATTTCTGTAGATATACCTAATTAATCAACTCAAACAGATGCCTTTGTTTTGGCAGCCAGTTGGGACCACAACAATGAACAATGATATCTTTTCTGGATACAATAGCATCAAATAGGCAATTCCAGCTTTTAGTTTATACCTGCAGGGGATGATAGGAAGTAAGGTATCATAGTGCTGATTATGCTGAAAAATTTCAATAAAAACTACCGAAGCAACCAAAATATTTCAATATTTACAAGTATAAGCTATCACTCCATGTTTACACGGTCATCATTTTTATTTTTTCAGCATAATCAGCAATGTGATACCTTACTTCCCATCGTCCCCTGCACACATAAACTAAAAGCTGGAATTGCATATTGTCCTGGTCTAAACTTTCAATGTCCCAGTTCTAGTTTACAGCACCGTCCATTGAAATTATTTCTGGAGTTGTAGGCAAAGTTCCACTTTCAACAGTTTCTCATCAACTTTTGGTAGCAACAGTAATGGCATCATTGGAACAATTTATATCATTGCCAAATGACACTTTGTATTCTGTGTACATTAGTTCATACTAGATTGACACATCATCCATGGAATTATTCTGTAGAATAATTAAGATATTTGTATGTTACCATAGTCACTACTATAGGTTCACCTGGCAATTATAATAATAAATCTAATTAATTATTGTTATTTGTTGTTTTAAAATTTCCAAAATGAAAGTTTTGAACTCATTTATTGGGTCGTTCCAGAAAGGATCCACACTCCCCTCACAGAGGAAATTTTTGCAGTGGAGACAAAATTGTTTCTGATAATAGGGGGGAGGGGGGGGGGTTACAATTCCCTCTCTGGGGGTGGTATGGATGTTTTCTGGAATGACCCATTAGCTTTGCCATGATACAGTATAAAGTACATCAAATAACAGACAGACAGACATATGTATGTATAAAGTACAAGTGGCAGGGTTACCGCAACAGAAATTATACTCCCAATAACTGCGGGCCACCTTTGATAATATAAGCTAACAGAGTTCAGTGCATGTAAACATTTCACACAAACATTACAAACCTTGGGTGGTATAAATGGCCATTTATTATGCTACCAAGAAGGCAACAAATTATAAAAAGTACACACTGTTCCAAATCAAATACATATACACTGGGGACACAGCAATGAATACATACTTTATAGTACATATACTTTGTATTTTTATTCAATCAAAAATAATATATTTAATATTTACATACCGTCTCTAATCGCAGATTCGACAATTGTTTCACTAGTCTCACTACGTGCAGCGTTTCACCCAGAGTGCATATGCTGTCATTGAATTTCAAGGAGCGATGTTTATTTATATAAACTTTGAAACGTTTCTTCGGTCCAACATCGTCAAAAAACTTCCTCGTTGTTCTCAATGCACTTTGAACAAACCAATTCACCGCAAACTTTAGGTTTGCATCCTGAAACGGCCTATTTGTCGCCATGAATAATTCATGATAATTCAATATTCTTATGTCTGTATTAATTGGACGCCATTTTGGAAATATTATATGGCAGAGCCTTACGTAGCTTCCGTCTTCCCATTATACCTTGCGTAATTTGTCCCCCCCCCCTTAATATTACGCAATTTTACTAAAAATTCGTAAAGCTCTGCGGAGGAGAGTGCTTCTGTGCATTAATTTGATCCTTGGCATCCTTTGCATTTACCTCAAGTGATTTCTTGACCTCGCCGACAGCAGTCAGTGCTTCCTTTCCTGCTGATAATTTTTCATCAAGTGTTGTACAGCTTCCTTGTAATATTTCCCTTTGTTTCTGTGCGATTTCACCCACAGAAACGCAAGAATGATTTTGTTTGATGTGATTTAAAACCATACAGTGCAAACAGCTGAGTTCCTTGCATGTTTCGCAATAAAATTCAAGTATTTTGTCTTTGTGTTTTACGCAGTAAAGCTTGCTTCTCATTTTAACTTGACTTTGAGGATTGCTCAGTTCCTCTACGGATAATACATCGTGATCTTTCATCACCGGCCACATCATATGAGAGTTAGAACATTTTTCACACATAAACATTTCACAGGTCATGCAACAACTTACTGCGGTTTCCTGACAGGACGAGCAACGGGCAGCTTTCGCTTGTCGTTGAATCGCCATAATTTCCAGCATATTCTTGATGAAATAATTGCTTGCCAAGTCGGCGACATTTTGGTTTGATTTCAGCGTAAACTCCAAGCGACATATAGGGCATGGGAATGTCTCAATGTTCTTCTCAGGTCCGCGGAGACGTTCGACATATTTTCCCAAACATACTTTGCAAAAATTATGAAAACAGTGCAAGCTTCGAGGCTCGTTCAACGTCTCCGAACATATCGGACATGTGAGTAAATCTTCGATTTCTGCAACGCTGTCTAAAGATGAAGCTGTTGCCATTTCAACTTGTTACTTTAAAACTTCATAAATTACATTTATATAATACCGTGTTCATTCCAAGGATTTGTGCAGTTAATTTGCATAAAATGCAACCAAAGTGAAAATACTGATTAATTTCACTCACTTCCGGTTTGTGAAATGAATGAATTCCTGGAAGAAAATACACAACCCGCGAACAGGCTTCAAATCTGGCGCCACACTTTCTGATCGACTCGAGAAACTACAAAATAGGGCAGCTAGAGTTATTACTGGCGTAAAAACGAACACGGTCAATCTGAACTTGCTCTAGACGAACTGAAATCTCGAAACCCTTAAGTGAACGCTGAACACATCTCGTAGCAAGTCTTATGTATAAAATACCTCACGAACTGGCGCCAAAACGACTAACCAACATTTTTCAAAGGACGTCTTCCTCTTATTACTCTAATATGCGAGGCTCTTCCACCAAACTCTTTTTGCCCAAACCTACGACCTATCTTAAAAAAAGCTATCTTAAAAAAAGTCTTAGTTATAGAGGAGCTTGTGGAACATCCTTTCAGATGAAGCAAGAAACAAACATTCTCTTGCTTCGTTTAATTCATGTAAACGACACCTGGCCAATTAATTAATTAATTAATTAATTAAGAATATTACATAGTACTAATCCTAAAGCCGGTTTTAATTTCCACTTGCGAATTTTGTCGTCGCGCGAAGCGGATTTTTTCGCGACGAAATAGTTCGCGCGAATAGCCGGTTCTTTGTTTTCCACAGTTAAAAATAGCTAAATTGCGGGAAATACATAAAAAATAATAATAATAAAATAATAATAAAGAAAAGAATTTGGATACGCCAAATATATGCTGAACGGCAACAGAAAGAAAATTTTGAAATCTGTTTAACTAGCGACTCTTTTCGCCACAAAAAAGTACGAACGAGTAGGAATCATTCCAATTCCTTTTTTCGCCGTAGCAAACGGTTGGCGAATTTTATCGCGATATAATATTTATGAACACGCATGCGCGTGAGCGAAAAAATCCGCAGTTCGCGCGACAAAATTCGCAAGTGAAAAACGGGCTTTATTCCGGCGGAAAATGCAACTTTTACGCGCAATAAAAGAGCGTTTTATGTACTTTTTAAATCACGGTTAGGACGTAGGAGTGCGCAGCACGAGCATTTTAGATATGATAAAACACGTCTAAAACGTTTTGAATAGCTTCAAACGCGACTACAATAAATGCCGTCTCATTAGTATTCTTTAATAAAGATGGACTTTTATATAAAGAATACTAATGAAGATGAATTTTGTCAGGTATAAAGTAGCCTACGGTGTAGACCCCAGCAAAAACGGTTTATAAACAGGCGGTTTATAAACAATTTAAGTCGATGTCATATGGGGAAATTACAATTTTTCGCAACAATTCACAATGCAAGTTTCATTAAAAGATTTTGAAGCGGTTTTGATTAAAAGATTTATTCAAAATGTTTAGTAATGAACTTTCCCTTAGCCTCAGGTTAATAGTTTATTTTGTGTTTAATATATAGAACACGTACAGTAAGATTTTTTTAAATGTGTTTATTACACTGAACAAACGACGTTTCGGAGATTTACTCCATCTTCAGTTAGTAAGGATTACAATTTAGGATTACAAATTTAAAAAAGTCTTACTGTGGTTTACATATTGAACACAAAGTAATAGATTTATTGTAGATATTCAATGTTTCTTAACTGAAAATATGCTTCGTTTAACGAAGAACCAAAGAGTTTCGATTTGTTTCGAATATGCATTGGTAAATAATGCTCGTGAGGTTATACCGGCAGCGTTGGGCAGGTCTCTCACGAACGTGTGTCTAAACACACTACATGAGCCCGGCTGACCGGTTAACCGAGGCGCCTGGCTTAATACAAATCCCTTATATCAATTTTAGTTTACAGTCATGTAAACCGGAACAGCCCGTCTAGCCGAGATCTCACTTGTGTCAAACGGTTCACCCAGCTAACCGGGCTGAAATTTTCCCATGTAAAGTCACCAGCCCGGGCAACCGGGCTACTGAGCAAAATAACCTTTGTACAATTTAAGCTACAATATCGATTTGAATTAGTATTTTTTTAGACAAATAGTTATTTCTTAAGTTGCTCCTGTCGATTAAATAGTTTTAAATTGAAAATTAGCTCTATAAAACGTGCATTTGACTTGCGTGACAAACCTTACAGTATTGAAAAGTGAACAACTTTGCCCTGCTATATTTGGCTTGGTCAAGTTTCAGCCCGGTTAACAGGGCCAGCCTGGCTAGCCGGGCTCATGTAACAGCCTCTACCACAGATTATTGCTGTATATATAATTAACAATTAGTCACCGAATTAAGGCGAGGTGATTACAAGCCTATATTCACTTGAGTCGATTTAATGCATATTGTGGTTGTTTTTCAACAAAGAAAAGTATGCAGCGACTCACAAGTCCATTGTTATAGTAAATGATTAAGATTCACACGTTGCTTGTTTAAATGTATAATATACAAAATTTATGAATGTATGTGCATTTTTGGCCCGAATGTTTTTCAACAGCTACCTTAATCCTTATTATTACTTGATTGGTATTTGTCGAGTGAGGATGTCTAGTTCGAGAAGGCGAGATATTAGTTTTCTTTGTGAAGAGTTTGGCGAAACGTTTGATAACAGTAAAAAGACAAATGATAGGGGCTTTCTAGATTTGGAAGAGGACGGGCTGGATGGAATACTTTCCAGTCATTGGACTTGTTCGAAGAGCGGATAAGTTCTCTGGAAAACCGATGAGCAGCATGTAGGCCTATAAAGGTATGAAAAATAGTACAAGGTATCACATAAGATAGATAAATAGATAGATTTTATTTTGACACGCTAACTACGTCAATTAAAAACATTGATTTCCACGAAGGGCGTGTGTTCAAAAGTTATTATATATAAGTGTTGTTATGATTATGGAATCAAATAAAAGAAAATAGAAATAATCTAACTGTTCCAATTGACAAAATTGACAATATAGACAACTAAAACTGGAACAGCCCGTCTAGCCGAGATCTCACTTGTGTCAAACGGTTCACCCAGCTAACCGGGCTGAAATTTTCCCATGTAAATATATATGTATGTATAAATATATTATTTAGTAACATGAGCAGCAATTTTTCTTTCAAATAGAGACTGGGACCTAATTCCTCTGATTTCTTTAGGCACTGAGTTCCATATTTTTGCTCCCATTAAACATAAAACTCTTTTTCATGCTATTTGTGCGGGGCTGTGGCAAAACGAGTGTTGTTTCATTGTCACGGAGACAGTAATGTGTATTCTCATTCTTGTAGGTAAAAAGGTCTGTTAGGCTTTTAGGCCCAGACATATTCAAAATTTTGAACATTAATTTTGCCTTAGCTTTAGTTCTTTGTACTTTTAGTGTCTCCCATCCTAACGAATTTAATGCAATTTGGGCATTAACTTCGTTACCCATGTCCATAATAATTCGAGCGCATCTATTTTGAAGCTTTTGTAATCGTTGTGATTGAGTTTCACCAAAAATGTCCCACACTTCACAACAATAAGTAAAGTATGGTTGTACAATTGCGTTATATATAGAAACAAGTGCATCACGGTCAACAAATTCTTTTAGTTTTCTAATAACAGAAATGGCTGATGTGATTTTCTTACAGATACTCTCAGTGTTACTTTTCCAAGAGAGATGCTGATCAACTGTTACTCCTAGTGTCTTGCATTCCTTCACTTGTTTAATTGGTCTGTTTTCAATCATTATGTTTAAATTTTGAATCTGAACAGTATGCACTAGAGATCTTGATCCTATGAGCATAAATTCAGTTTTGGCAATGTTTAGACACAGTTTGTTCGCGTTTAACCACATTCTGAGGTCACTGCATTTTCAACATCATCAATTGTACAACCGGAAGCAGTGAGGTTTGTGTCATCTGCAAAAAGTCTTGGCTTTGTCCTATTTAGGCTTTCAGATAAATCATTTATGTATATTAGGAAAAATATAGGACCTAAAATGGAGCCTTGAGGAACACCACACTTAACTTTGTGTTCAGACGAGACAACACCATTTACTTGGCATTTTTGGGTGCGATCAGTAAGATATGATCTCAACAACAAATGTGCCTTATCCTTAATACCGTAAATTTGCATTTTCTCAAGTAGAATTTCGTGATCTACGGTCGTCAAATGCTTTTTAGATCTATAAAAACTACTAAGTTAAACATTTTTCGATCCATGTTAACATACCAACTATTTGTTGAATCTAAAAGGGACGTAGCGGTGGAGTGAAACTTTCGAAAGCCAAATTGGTTATCAGAGAGGATTTCGTTTTTAGTTAAATAATCATACAGCTGCTCATACAGTAATCTTTCCATGATTTTGCTTATGACTGGTAGTATCGATATTGGCCTGTATATACGTAATTACCAGGAATATTACGATGACCACTTTTATAAAGAGGTAAAACTCTAGCTACTTTCCATTCATCTGGAAAGCTGCAAAGAGTAATACTTTGATTAAAAATATATGTAAGTGTAGCAGAAATAACTGGTGATGCTAATTTAAGAATTTTACTGGAAATTTTGTCAGCACCACATGCTTTGTTACAAGACAGCCCTCTTAAAAGATCAAAAATTTTGTTTACCGCAATTGGTGTAAATGCAGTGAACTCGGATTCAGAACTTTTAGTATACTTTTGAAAGTCACAGCTGGATTCATCCAACTTGCTTGCCAAGTTTGGTCCAACATTTGCAAAGAATTTATTTAACCCTTCAGCAATCTCTGTAGGATTTGTTAATTTAGATTCATTAATAATTAGTTCATTTATAATCGTGGGGTTCTTACCCTTTCCGATCAAACTATTAATAGTTTTCCAAGCCTGCTTTGGATTGCACTTTTGGTTAGCAATCTTTTTAGAATAATAGTCTGTTTTGGCTTTCCTTAATTCGATATTTGTTTGATGTCTGGCTTTTTTATAAATGATCCAATCAGATTCTTGTTTAGTAATAATTGCTTTTCTTTTCAATTTATCTCTTTCAGTTATGAGCATTTTTATTTTGCTTGTAAACCTAGGGACACTTTTTGATTTTATCTTTTTGTTTTGAAGTGGTGCATGCTTATCCAGGACCTCTAAAAAGACATTTTTCTACATCTCCCACATAGTATTTGGATTATCTGGAAAATAATGAATATGATCCCAGGGTTGATTTTGCAAATCCTTAAGAAAATTTAGATCATTGAATTTCTTCATGTTTCTAATTTCAACAATATTTACATGACGTTTTACTGAAAAATTTATTTTTCTTATTGCGAAAATTATGCTATGATCACTAATTCCAGTATGTATTACCCCAGAGTCAGAAATTTTCTCTGGTCTATTTGTAATAAAATGATCAATAAGGGTGGATGTTGATGATATTATGCGCGTAGCTTCATCAATCATTTGTGACAATTGATAAAGTTCATATATGGATTTGAGTTTTATAGTTAATTGGTCTGGATTTGTCTTAAGTAAATCACAGTTTAAATCACCAAGAATGTGAATTTCTTTGTTTTCATCATCTATTTTTTTAATGGGACTTTCTAAATCGGTAAAAAATTCGGATGACGGATTTGGAGGTCTATAAGCTGTTACTATACGACGAACGGCTGACTTTGAGGCTTAATGATTTCAATACAAACAGCTTCAAGATTTTTAGGCACTAGATCATGTCTAACCCGATAATTAATGGAGCTACGCAAATACATGCAAACACCACCTCCACTTCTTGATCTATCTTTTCGGATGATATCATAACCATCAATATACCGCATTTGATTATCTGAAATTGATGAATCAAGCCTTGTTTCATTAAATGCGATTAAATCAATGAATTTGTTTGACAATGAAAAGCTCATTTCATCATATCGTTTTGGCAAGCTAACAACATTTAAAAAGGCCATTTTAAAGCCTCTTTCATTAGGAATAAAATTAATCTCATTGAAACAATTGCTGCTCCTGTTTTGGGTTAAATAGCAACTATCATTAATATTTATTTCTTCA